CTGCTGTCAGCCGACGGTCAGGGCAGTGTGTGTGTGTATGTTTCCGAGAAAAGGTTTAACGTCCGTGCCTTTACTGCTAGGACCGGGGTCCCATCGCAGAGGGTGGCCAGCAGGCCAACAGACGCCCCGTTATATAGGAAGAGCTTATTACATCTTAGATTTCAGCTGCTAGAATTTCATAATTCCTTCGCAGCGGGCAGCCTTGAGGAAAGACTGAAAGATGCCCCAGTGGGTCCTGTCACCTGGGAGTGACACAGATCCAAACGCCCAAGCTCTTCCTATAACTGTCCCTTTAGACCGGCTGAAGTTCTTTTAAATTGTGCTTGGTTCTGTTACAGCAACTGAAGGAGTCAGGTTAAAGCTTAAACAGTTACAGGTTTATTGAGGAAGCTTATAAATCATATGGTTACAATGGCTATTGCTCTATTTCTTAACTATTAGCAAAATATAGGTCTTAAAAATGGTTACAAAGAAGATAAAGATAGAAAAATAGAAATAATGGTACCAAGTAACAGCTTACTCTTTCTATGTGTACACTTAAGACAGAGGACCACATCCAGGTACAATTTTTACCCCCTTCTGTGCCTCTCGACTCCAGCATGTCAGGCCAGGGCCGGTCCCTCAATTCCTAGGAAAGACGAAAATACGAGGTGGGCGTCCCCATAGAACCTCGGGAGGTCAAACACCTAACCCGACCAGCAGGTAGAGGGTAGAATGACACTCAAAGTGAGTGTGTGCTGGGCCCATCTTTTATACTCATGGGGTCACGTATTTCTCTTTCTTGTCTGTCATGCCAAATGGGGCTGGTCTGTCTTTTGTGAGACCAGTTCTTACAAGGGAGTTGTGAACTTAATTTACACTTGTAAGAGAGAATTGAGATGATTAAATTGGAAGTACGGGACATTCTTTTCTCAGTGGGGGATTCCTCTCCCAGGGACTGTGTGTTCGTATCAACATGGCTGCCAGCCGGGCACACTCGCATATCCTGATCTTGCATCAAAGCAGATCAAAGCTTAATGGCTATGCTGATTGCCTTAATCGCTCTCTCTCTCCACATATCTGTTTTTTTCAGCTTCTCAGGATCAGATGAGCCAGCATAGACTGCTGATTTTACTGCTCTTTCTCTGCCCTGTATACTTCAGAGAGGCAAATAAGATGGATGAGATGGGGGGGGGGGCTGTCTGGCTACGCTGCTCTTACATGGAAATGGAACAACAGTCAGCATTCAATCCTGTTGACCCATTTGAATGCTGTTGCTGTGAGTCTGTGCAACTGGGGGGACCACATTGTGATGCAGCTATGGGATGGGCAGCAGTGGCTGCAAAACGTCTGAATGCACAAGGCCACTTTCACGGAATTTTTCAAACTGCTTTCCCCCACCATGAAGCGCAGAGACCCGCTCTGACTGTAGAGACGCACACGGCAACTGTCCTATGGAAGCTTGCAATGCCAGAGAGCTACAAGTCAGTTGGGAAGCAGTTTGGAATGTGGAAATCTACAGTGGCTGGTGGTGTAATCCAAGTACCCAACGCAATCAATACCATTCTGCTACAGAGGGTAGTGACTCTAGGAAATGTGGATGCCACAGTGGATGGGGCCTGTCCTATGGAAGCTTGCAATGCCAGAGAGC